CATGGGTGACTCCACGGCCATGTCCTACACAGTATCATGGGTGACTCAGTATCCTGAGCTGTGATTGTTCCAAGTTTTCAGATTCCCCAAGTAATTTGGTCCATAAAAATAGACAGCTCCTGGTTAAAGCACTCAGAGCTTTTTAAAAAATTTTATGGAAAAAAAGTAAAATAAAATTTCAGAACAAGATGATAAGAAAATAAAAAGTTCATGCATTGTATATTATTACCTTTAAAGTAGTTACTCAGAGTACAAGATATGGCATAAAAAAATTCTCCAATCAATATTAGTGCAAACCTTTTTCTAAGAACTAAGGGATAACAGTATAACTTGCATTTTTCTCCATTTTCCCTTTCTTTCCCCTTTCTCCCATCATTGTTCCTTTTTAATAATTTCTTCCCATCTCACAATATCCATTGTGCATTTTAGACCATATTTACTCTTTCAGTTTCTCACACCAGGTAGATAATACAATGTTTATACATGTGATTCTGGTTTATTTCACTAAGGAGTATGGTCTCAAGTTGCATCCATTTACTTATGTCTCGTTTATCCTTCTTTATGGCTCAGTACTCCTCCGATGTATAAACACTCAGATTTTTGAGTGATATAATGAAACAATAGCTTATTGTGCAAATTCTTGTAATGGATTTAGTTTGCAAGAAGTGTGAATTTTCCCTCAAGTCAGGGCTGCCAGATTGCTGTTACTAAAACTGTTTGCACTTTCTGATTTACTTTATGCTTTCAGTGTCTGATTCCCAATTCCAATGCAGGAAAATAGTTGTAGCCACCCCTTGTTACTTTGCTAACTTCTGCCCACCATGAACTGTTTCTTTTCTGTGATGCTACCTCGGAGCCATCCAATTATGGACTGAAACCTCTACAAACTACATAAATCATATAATCTACACACTGTTGGTTTTTAACACAAGTGATAATGAACTCTGGATTGTGTTTAAGGATTGTAGCTTAAAAATAATTTTGACCAGCCTACGTTTCTGAATTATAGGCTAATTACATGAAAAGAACTGGTCTACGATAGTCCATGGTTTAATAGAGTGGAATAACTCTAAAAAAATCAACTAGTCTACTGTGTAAGTGGTACATCTGAGTGGCAGAAGTAGGATTTAAAATGTTTCCTTCCTCACTAGATTTTCAAAGTATGTAATGGAGACAGTAAATGAGTTTCTATTGAAAACATGGTGGGGACAGCAGCAGCTCAACTCCAAGCCCAAGCCAAGTACGTGTAGAAGGAACAGAATTGGGATAAATGATTTAAAATGCCATTGCAGGGGTAGGACACTGCTAGGAAGGTCCAGATACTGCAGGGTCTGTGCCACCCTGAGCTCAGGCTGGAGTTCAGAAGTGAACTTGTACAGGAAACAAATGAAGGACACAAAGCTGGGTGTCAGACAGAAGCAACTTTTGGGCCACATGCAGCCTGCTCTGTGTCCAGGTGGGCAGTGACGCTGGGGCTGACTGCTGTCTCCAGATGTGAAGGGAGGGGGAATGCACCTTCCTCACAAAATGGGAGGAGCCAATGAAAATCTCATCTCGACACATCTTTCCTGATTACTTTTGGAGTCCAGTTTGAGTTGAATTTTATCTAACTGGCATGCCTAGTGCAGTACTCGTGAACAGGTTTGGGATAGTTCTTAAACTGAAACTACACGATTATGCTGCTCTTCCACTGCTTTGCTCTTGTACTCTTTTACTGTTCAAAGTTACTTGGAAATCTGTCATTCAGCCAGTTGTATCAAGAATGTCTGTCAGCTCTTAGATCAGAGACAAACACCAGAGTGGTTTGACACCTATGTCACCATAGGGCTTGTGATAATAGGGAATCAGTAAGGAAGACAGAGATGTAACAATGATGAACGTGAGGATACAGTTTTGATAAGAAAGGATTTTGTATGCTAAGATTTTGCTCTACCAGGTTCAAAAAAGATCAGGACAAAACCAGAAAGTATGAAAGTGTGGAAGAGCCTTGTGAAAGGAAATTTGCTTAGTTTTTTTTGTTGTTGTTTTTTTGGTACTGGGAATCAAACTCAGGCTCTTGTGCTTGCCAGGCAGGTGCTGCACTGTTGAGTTATATCCCCAGCCCTAAACTACTCTTTAGTGAGAACAACGTTTAATTTTGAAAGGCAGTGTTCTTGTTCCAAAGGAACATGGACAAAAATGTTCACACTTCATGAGAGAAGGCTTTTCATTTTACTGATGCCTTTGAGACACCACGAAAAGTCTGTAAGAAAAGCCTATCAACACATTTCAAAGTTCAGATTAAAGTTCAAATATAGGTCATCTTTCCAAAAAAAAAATCTCAAAGAATATTTCTTAACCTGAAAGTATCTGGCCCTTTACACGTCCTTGCATCTCTGATATGTATCATGAATGTTAATACTGTTCAACTTGTAATTACAGCATTCTGGAGTATATAACATCAGTTTCACCTTGGGTAGAGACTGACTTATTCCTCATATAAATTCCGTGAAATGGAATACATTTTAAGATTTGGTTAAATTTACCAAAGCATTACATCTGTAAGAGTTCTTTGCAGTACAAATTCTTCAGTGAATCCCAAGGACACATCTTTTAAGAATGAACTTTTTGTTTCTTTTGAAACTCTGTAGCTCAGGCCAGACTCAAACTTATGGCTATCCTCCTGGCTTAGGCTTTTAAGTGCTGGGTTTACAGGTATGCATCACCATGCCTGGCAAAAATAACCTTTCTAAGTTCATTGTATTTGTCTGGTTTCACTGCAGAACAAATCCCTTTATGACAACAAAATTAACACTTGATGAAAGAGTCACTGTATTCATTATATTTGTAATGTTGCTCTCCAGCTCAATTATTCTGTTCTGGTTTTGATGCTTGGACAAGTCTTAGCATACCCACTACCTTTGTATGGCTTCCTCAAAGGTACTTGATGCCTAGTGAATTTTAAGGTTTACAAGTCTCTGTTGAACACGCACTTTTTTTTTTAGTAACTGTCACTCTTTAGTATGGATTACAATGTTGATTACTGCTTGACTTCATCATGATGGTTTTGCCACTTTCCTCAGATCTCTAAGATATCAGTCATACACAAATTTTTCAGTGTTATACAAGGTATAAATCTGCACATTCATCCCATTTCTAGTTTCTCTTCAGTGTAAGTTATGTGAGATGTGCTAAAGTATGGGTACTGAAGACAGGATCTACCAAACTGACTACTTTTCCAAGTTTTTCTTGAGGATACCTTGTCTGATGTGTTCTGAGCCTGAGGACCTACTAAAAGATCTGAAACTCATTCCAGTTGTGAGGTTTTTTCCAGTTTGAATTTTTTAAATACTGATGTCAGATTTTCACCCTCAGGCACTGTTACATTGGCAAAGTTTCTATTATGCATTAGCTTATGATCAGTTAGGTGTTAAATGATAACTTAAGGCTTCACTTATTCTACATGAAAATTATCTTCCTAGCAGGCACTGGCCAATGTTTTTTAAGGCACAGTGCCTGATGACTTCTGCTTCATTCAATTGTCAGATTTCTCTCCAGGTTGGTATCTCCAATGAATTCCAAGTTAGGAATTGTCACAAAGCCCTTGCCACTTTTTTCCAGTATGTGCTACAAGCTTAGACTTACAAGCTAAGAGCTTAGCTAAACTCATTGAATTTTAAGGCTTCTCACCTCTTTGAGTGCACTGGTGCTTAAGTGTCAAATCTGACTCAAGATCTTGGCAAATTCATTACATTGCTAAGATTTCTCTCAAGTATGAAATTTCAGATGATGTGCTAGAGATGAGTTTAGTCTGAACACCTTGCCACATTCATTACATTTGTAAGGTTTCTCTCCAGTATGAATTCTTTGATGACATACAAGTTGGGGATTACGACTAAACACCTTGCCACATTCATTACATTTGAAAGGTTTCTCTGCAGTGTGAGTTATCTGATGTTTTGCAAGGTATGAATTACAACTGAACACTTTACCACATTCTTTACATCTGTAAAGTTTCTCTCCAGTGTGGATTGTTTGATGTTTTGCTAGAAATGACCTGCGACTGAACACTTTACCACATTCATTACATCTATAAGGTTTCTCTCCAGTATGGATCCTTTGATGCTTTGCTAGAGATGCCCTATGACGGAACACTTTACTACATTCATTGCATCTGTAAGGTTTCTCTCCAGTATGGATTCTCTGATGATTTTGGAGGTATGATTTGTGCCTGAAGCCCTTGCCACATTCATTACACAAATAAGGTTTCTCTCCAGCATGAATTATGAGATGTTGTGCAAGGTAGCAATTGTGACTAAAGACCTTGTTACATTCATTACATTGGAAATGTTTCTCCCCAGAATGGATTCTATGATGATTTGCAAGGTGTGACTTGTGACTGAAGACCTTGCCACATTCATTACATTTGTAAGGTTTCTCTCCAGAATGCATTCTCTGATGATTTGCTAGGTTTGACTTTTGACTGAAGACCTTTCCACATTCATTACATTTGAAAGATTTCTCTCCAGAATGAGTCCTCTGATGATTTGCTAGGTATGACTTGAGACTGAAGACCTTGCCACATTCATTACACTTGTAAGGTTTCTCACCAGTATGAATAGTCTGATGACGTATAAAGTTTGATTTCTGACTGAAGACCTTGCCACATTCATTACATTTGAAAGGTTTCTCTCCAGTATGGATTCTTTGATGGTTTGCTAAGTATGACTTTTTACTGAAGACTTTTCCACATTCATTACACTTGTAAGGCTTCTCTCCAGTATGCATTCTTAAATGATTTCTAAGGTTTGTTTTCTTATTGAAGACCTTGCCACATGTGTCACATAAAAATTTGTTCTCTCCAGCATGGACTATATGATGCATAGAAAAACACAAGCCTTGGTTAAAAGATATGCCACACTCATTCCATTTGTTCTTTTCTCTTTCAAATACCCCAAGTTCAGGCAGATGTGATTGAAAGCTTATTCCAAGCCAATTTTTGGTATGTTTCTGGTCTGTATCCCTTCTACCATGCTCATCTCTCCTATCTGTGAGATTTTCCTTGTGATTCACATAGAATCCTACGTCAAGTCTTCCATCCTCTCTGCAGTGATGTTCAAAGTCATGTACATTTGTCTGGATTTCTTTGAAGCCTAATTCTTCAATGTCGTGGATTTTATGTGTTTCCAACATTACTGTCTGGAACATTTCTCCTGCATCTCTTTTTGTTTTTGGTGGCAATTCTTTTATGACACATTTAGGAGAGGTATCTATGAAATATAAGAAATCATCAGTTCTGATTAATTATAGATGATAAATGAATTCTGTTACACACATGACATTATACCAAAAGAAATAATTATAATTAAGCATTTTTACTTTTTAGGAAAACAACTGAAGAAATGCTCAATTTCAAATAACCTATGACCAAAACACTTACACTGCACAAATTAATTCAATGGGTACCTTGATCATGGAATTTTCACTACCCAAATTGGTGACAAATACATTTTTGTGGTTAAAGTATACTAGTCCCTGCTATCTAATGAAAGATGGAGGTAAATGAGACATGAAATGGATCCTCTCATCATTATAAGGACAGCAGTTTAATCAGTCTTATTAAATAAAGGAACTTTTAAATATACTATAAAATACGGCACTATTTTATAAAATCCTTGAAGTTAACATTACTTTTCAATTAAGATAGCGGTTAATATTTATTTTCTAAGCCTAATTTACATAGACTATAAGTGAGATAAACAGGGTTTGATTGTTGGCCTACAGGCTCAGTCAACATGTTCCCAACGATACCTATTCACAGGCAGTACAAATATAAAAAGTCACAGCAAATTCAGCAGTATAGAAAGCAGTATTTCAAAGGAAATAGCAGTTTCACTTCACTTCACTGTGACAGTGTCCCTGAGCCACTGCTCACAGATAATGTTATCCAAGTCATCAACACTGCACACATGGATTTAGGTAGTGTCCTAAGAAGACCTAACAGATGAGTTAGATCTTTCCTTTCACTGTGAAGTTAGTGTGGAGGTCCTCTGCAAATCTGAGTGTTTAGAAAAAAAGACACAAACTAAGCAGCAGCAGTACACTGCATCCAGATCAAGGAACCACATGAAAGAAAGCCTGCATGGGAAAAGACAAGCCTGGAGGGCAGGGAGGAACAGGCATGAGAGAGTAGTCCGTGCTGGTGAGTCTGTGGGACTGGAATTGCTCAAGGGGAGTTAATATTCCTACCTTTGTGAAAAAGAGAAACACATGTACCAAGTGGCATCAAACTGTCCCATTCTTCACTATGGGAAAGAGAGTTCGGGTGTGGGGCAGAATGAAGAGAGTTAACCGGGTAATAGCATGATGGTGGGGAAGAAAGCAGATTCACATCTCCTCAAATATCTTTAATGAAATTTATTAAACCAAATGACAAATGTTCTACGTATATGTTCTAGGTATATGCATTTTCTATGTATATATTTAACCACACCTTATTTATATATTCTAAGAGGTTATGAGCAGAAATATTCTAAGAAGGACCTGAAAGCAAAAACCTGCAAATAGCTAAGAAGATGAGATGGTGAATTAATTCTGTTCCCATACAGTAACTTTTAGCTAGAGTACAGCAATCTAGGGAGAAAATAGGTCCAAAGTGACAATTCTGTGGCTAAGGAGATGAGAAAGCTTTGAAGAAACAAGTGTAGCATGAGGCCTCCCCTTAATCATATTAGCATAAGTGAAAAACAAAACAAAAGCAGAAAACAAAGATGAAAACAGCGACCAACTCTTGAGGACCACCAAGCACTGCCATGGCAGGGCTCAATGATCAAGAACCACCCGAAGCAGGTGATCTGCCTCCTCACTCATTGCCAGAAGGCCAGTAATGGCCCCACCTTATGTCACAATGCCCATGACATTCACAGCACATATCACAAGAAAAGTGAGATCAGGACAATAAAGTTTTTTAAAAGACAAAAAGACTAATCACTTATAGTTTATCACAGTCTCTTATTAGCAGCACTGTTTTATTTTACTATTAGCTATTGCCATTAATACCAGACTCTGTCTAACTTAAAAGTTTATCTCACGTATGCATAAGAAAAGGCAAGTATATCAGGGTTTGATACTACTTATAGCTACAGTTCCTCACTTGGGTCTTGGGATGTATGCCACACAGTAACAGAAAATTACTGTGACCTATGAGAGGGTTGAAAAACACTAAATAGAAAACGGCACTAGACAAAATCCTGGAACTAAGGTTTTATGTGTGACTAACAAAATGGATAAAACTCATAGCTAGATTAACTAAGAGAAAAAGAGGAAAAACTCAGCTAATATCACAAAAAAGAGAGGGGATCTTACAAATGGTTGGTTCTATGCAAATGAAAAGTAACAGAACTGTACAACAGATACAATGATCAAGAAAAAAAATACATGGAATTCAAGAAATACATGAGCATATGGCAACAGAAAAATCTAAGAGACCAGTAGCAAAGAAACTGAATCAGCCATGAAAAATCTCCCAGAACAGAAAAGGACTGGACCCAATGGCCTTAGTGGAGAATGACTGCAAACATTTAAAGGCCTAAAGCAATCTTCCCCTAACTCTTCTAAAACACTGAGAAAGAGGGAAGACTACTACACTTGTTCTGTAAGGTAGCATTACCTTGACTGAAAAGCCAGACCATGACAATAGCAAACTGTAAAGACCAATGCTACCCCTCATACATTTAGTATAAAATCCTCAACAAAATACTATCAAATGCACATTAAAATGGTCCATAAACCATGACATTAGATTTAATCCTGCAATATAAAGATAACATCAATTCATGCAATGCACCACACAAGCAAAGATAAGAACCACTGGATCACTTCAGGTGACAGAGAAAAATTATTTCAAAAAATCAATACCCCCTGGCTCTGGTGGTATAAACCTAGCACTTGGGAGGCTGAGGCAGGACAATCACTGTTTCATTCAGGTCATACAACCCTATAATTTGCTGGATATGTACCCCCTCCTCCATAGTGGAAAACATTCTGCAAGAGGTATTTGTAAACCCACGCTCATACTAGTGTTACTCACAGTAGCCAAAGGACGGAAGCAACCCAAGAGGATTCACAAAATATGGCTGTGCTTTTGTTGTGGCTTATTCCTCAAGGATTTGCTTCAGAAGTGTGGCCCTCAGTGTGGTGCTGCTGGGAAGTGAAAGACCTTAAAGAAGTGGAGCCCAGTGGGAAGTGACTAGCTCACTGGGGATGCTGCCCGCAGAAGGGATTAATGCAGGTCTGGCAGAGTGAGTGAGTTCTCGTGAGCACACTGTTGTAAGTGCAGATGTCTTATCTCACTGCACGATCTCTTCTGTACATGCTCCTGCCAAGGTGCCCCCACTGCAGGCTGAACAAATAGGCAGTTGCCTATGGCAAAGGAAAGAATAATATGGAGGGAAAAATGAATTTAAATACTCATGGTAATCAACTCAAATTCAAGCAACAAGAAAAATATGGTCTAGTCTAATTCTGCCAAGTTTATATAATATAAAATTCACTGGACTAAATTTCACATGGGACTATTTTTTCTTTTTGTACCAGGAATTGAACTCAGGACCTTGCACATGCCAGGCAGGTGCTTATGCCCCTGAGCTATATCCCCAGCCCTTCCCATGGGAATATTAAAGGTAATATTCACATACATATTAGTAGACTTGCTCTGGACAGAAAAGGGTGATGCTTCAGATTAAGTGCTGCTCTCACCCAGAAAACATACAGTGCTTGTGTTAGAGGATTAAAACTTCCATCACTGTGTTTTATTTTTGTGGTGTATTTGCATAAAATGTCATAACCATGCCTCCAAGGAAAGAGATACCACCACTAAAGGTAAGAGGAAAACTGAGAACCATGGTAGAGTTAAGGCAAGAAATCATTACAAAATTTGTTAAAGTCATAGGAAAAGGAATTTGAGTGTAACTTTCAGGCCTCAGAACCAATTCCTTGTCTTTCCATTATTTCTTATGGGAAACGTATGATCAGTTCTCCAGTATTTCAGCATATGAACATGAATTGCTAAGGAATTCAGTTCAACACCTGAGGTATCACTGTATACCAAGATCAACAAAATGAATCTACATGGAGAAAACACTGATTAGAATATGGCCTTTGCTGCTGGCAGGGCTGTGGGGAAAAGGGAATCCCAATCCATTGTAGGTGGGAGTGTACACTGGTGTAACCACTGTGGAAATCAGTGTGGAGATTCCTCAGAAGAAGAGGTTCTGTTCTCCTTGGTATCTTCCTGAAAGAAGTATAAGCATCATACCACAGTGATACAAGCACATCCATGTTTATAGCAGCACAATTTGTAATAGTTGAATCTTGGAAACACCCGAATGTCCATCAACAGATGTATGGATACAAGAAAATGTGATCTTTGTTTGTACCATGGAGTACTATTCTTTCACGAAGAAGGATAAGCTTAAGACATTTCTAGCTAAACGGATGCACCTTGAGGTCACACTAAAGTGGAATAAATCCGGCACATTTGTAAACATGGTTTTTTTGGTGTGAGGAACCAAAAGTGTAAATAAGGACCAAAATGTGTAATAGATATTGCAAAACAGTAAGAAAATGTTCAAATGGGAAAGGGAACAAGGAAAGGGGCAGTGGAAAGGAAGGAAGGGAAAACAAAAATCATGAGGAAAAGAAAGGAAAAAAATGTAAACAAAGCTTTTCTAAAAATTTTGTTTTGGTACCAGGAATTGAACTCAGGACCTTGCACTTGCCAGGCAGGCGCTTGTGCCGCTGAGCTATATCCCTGGCCAACAAAGCTTTTATTTTTTTGTCTTTTTGAGACAGGGTCTCGCTTTGCAGTTCAGGCTGGCCTTGAGCTCACTTTGTAGCCCAGGCTGGTCTTCAACTTGCAACAATCCTCCTACTTCAGCCTCCCAAGTGCTGGGATTATAAGCATGTTTCACCACGCCCAGCAACAAAGCTTTTCTAAATGAGAAGAGGAGAGCTTAAAGGAAGGGGAGGGGAACGGGGAAAAAAATCAGATTATGTCATGTATGGGTACATATTCTCTATAATGAATGTCATCATTATGTACACCTAAAATGTACCAATAAACAATTTAAAAAAAAATATAGCATTTGTTCCAAGAATTAACAGATCAGGAATACGTACATAAAACCCAGCAATTAAGTTTATAAAATTGAGAACATACAGTAAGGGAAAAAAGTGTTAAATAACAAAAGGAATGTCTATCTGAAGATGTTTCTGACATTAAGACAGGATTAATAAAACAAAAAATGATATTATCAAGATATCAAAAGTTCCAAATTTAAAAAAATTTAACACACAAAAGTGTCCTTTAACAGTATGTTCTAAGTTAGATGAAACAAAACTAAAGGAAATAAGACTGTTCACAAAATTCTAGAACTGTGTAAATTCTGAGTTATACTTCGTGCAATGAAGAAGGTCTTCTAAATACATAAATCAATGGATCATCCCCAACAGAACAGTCTCCTAAATTGCACATATAAAACACCACCACAAGTATCATAAAATATATGGAAGTACTGCTTAAACACATACAAAGGTTCATTTACATTACATGGAAAAGGACAGAATGGAAGAACACTGTCTTAAGTGATGGTGCACTTTAAAATCTAAGGCATCATGCAACTTCGTAAGGTGGGGGAATGCTGGTGAGCCGCCGCCACCCCTCCCTCATGAGCTTGGGAGCTTGGGAGGCAGGCAGAACCCTGGACAGCTTTAGGGGCTTGGGGGCCACTCCCTGCCCATAATGCAACTCAGCAGGATGTATGAAAACCAGTTTGAGCTTACACTACACGGAACAAAGGCCTGAGCCAAGGTTTGCTGTTGCAAATGAACAACGGCACCCATGGGAAATAAAGGGTTGTTTACTGCAAAACCTCACGCATGTGAGACCAGGAACTTGAGAAATGTGCTGTGAAATTTTTCTGTGCTACTGACCATGGGCTCAAAGGAGATGCTGCTATTGTATGTGTCAAAAAGGGTTAAAGTAGTGACAGCAAAATGCAGGTGTTCCCTGAGATGACCTTAGCTGCTGTCTTTCTGCAGAGAGGCTGACCACTTCTTAGGGAAGGAACACAGCGACATAACTGTTAATACACACAACATTGACTATTCCCAGGCTCTGACCAGTGTTGGGAATGCTCCCTTCCAGCCACGCAGGCCTGGTGGTACCAAGTCTGTGCACAGTACTTGAACTCAAGAAATTAACGAACTGGGTACAGCCTGGTGTTTTCTCTCTCATCTGCCAAATGCTCGGTCTCATGCAAGATCCTTCATCTTTGGTGATGTCCCTCCCTTGCCTCACTGTGTGGTAATATATTACTGGACTATGCTATCTGCTACACTTGTATAATAAACTTACTTTCATCTTTTTAAAAATCATTATGTGGCTCTACTCTGTTGGTGTCAGTCTGAACCGCAAATTTCTGTGGCCACAATCTGTATGTGGCTCCTTGCTGTTACAAGATGGCCAACACGGTCACGGTCCCACAGAAAGATAATTCTGTGACAGTCCTCAAAAACTAAAAAACGAGACTCAGTCAGCTGCTACTGACTGTATCTGCTGTGACAGCTCGGTGTGGTTTCCAGGGTCTCACGTATCCTCAGACATGCTGTTATGCTTTGTGTCTAGATGAATCCCCAAAGCCCGATGCGGTCATAGAGCTTTTTCAGAGATGGATGAATCTGGAGTGTGTGATGCTGGCATTAAGGGTGTGTGAGTAGTAAGTCACTCCACTGACTGGCTTGGCGTAGTTCTGCCTAGGATTAAGGGTGTGAGTGCTGCATCTGCCCTAGGGAGGGACATCTGTATAAAATATGAGGGACAGAAAGAGTCTTGTCTTCTCCCCACTTGCTTGCTTTTGACAGATGACAACTGGTGGTAAGGAAAACCCTAGTCTGTGAGTGCAGAGGAAGTAAACAGTTTCCCACAGACCTTTCCCACTACTGAAGTTTCCCAAACACTATGTCATCGGGCAGCTTCCGCTCTGCCCATCTGAGCTCTCACCTGTGCTCACACCTTTGACACACTCCCACTCATTGTGGTTTCTGGATATTTCCACTTGGACATCCACACTCCAAGGCTCTCCCCGCTGCACCAACATGGAGACAACACTCAGGTCAAAAGGAGAGATTCCTCCTTGGAAAAAGAAAGGCATGTGACCTGCGGTGTCTTTTCCACACTCCAGTCCGGCTTACCTGAGATATGGACTGCAGAGGGATGCAAACAATATTTCACTGTTAAGTGGACATATCTAATTCTATTCCAAGGACGAACGAGTCAAAAGCACAGGGAAAAAGAACAGGGAACTGGCTGTTTTAAAAGTGTGCTATACGGCATAGTTCCAGTCTGAACCAACACTATCACAAAATGGACAGAACACCTGAAGAAAAAGGACAGTTAAAGTCCAGATGCCACATTCTGAAGCTTTACATCTCAGAGGCAATAGGTCCTTGCCTCAGTGAAACAGTGCAGAGGATTTCATGAAGACACAAGTGAAAATGCAAAGAGACACATAGTACGTCTGACCTGTGGAAGGAAGTCATCCTCACCCAGGGACACCAGGTTCCTGTAGTTCTCCAACATCACCTCCCTGTACAAAGTCCTCTGAGCAGGGTCCAGGCAATTCCACTCTTCCTGAGAGAATTCTATGGCCACATCCCTGAATGTCAACAGACCCTAAGATGAAAAACATATTTCAACGTAGGGAAATGGAGGAAATTATAATCTCCACATAAAATGAAAAGGTGAGATATGTAAGGCCCAATTCAATTGAAATGAGTTAGAGCCTTGCTGAGGACAGACCCACATTTTGACTCTCTGCAGTGATAAAGACGGTTTTATACTCTAATGAGGTAAATGGTGCCGGAGGTTCCTAGGTAGCTTCAGGACAGGAGCTGGTCACCATAAAGACCTAGGAGGTATTAGTCATCACATTCATTCCTATCCCAATCTGCTGGGAAGGGAGGGGGTCTAAAGTTTTAACTCATCAGCAATGCTAAGTGTCTATGTAATGAAGCTTCCAGAAAAACTCTAATGGACATGATTCAAAGGAGCAGTCAAATGTCTGGAGATTTCTACAAAGTGAAGCATCCATAGAAGGAATGGACACACTGTATTCCTTACCCCACAGCTCGCCCTATACATCTTTTTAATCTGGGTGTCCATCTTTTTTAACAAGCTTTGTAAGAAATACTTACAAAGTATTTGGAAAAGGCACCACAGGTCACATGCCTTTCTTTTTCCAAGAAATACTTACAAGTATCCAGTGAGTGTTTTGCTGATTTTCATGAGCTGCTGCAGCAAATCCTCTGAACCCAGAATAGGGTTGTGAGAATGGGAATGCCCATCTACATAGACAGCTGACTATTCAGAAGCACAGGCTGCAAATTTGCACCTGCAACTGTCGTCTAATGTGGGGATGCTTCTGTGGGTCTGAGCCCTCAAGAACAGGATCTATGCTATCTCTAGTGTCACAATTAGAATGCATTAGAAAGCATCCCCCACCAGAACTGCTTGGTTGGTGGGTGGAGAAAAATCCTCACGCATCTGGAGTGAGTTTTCTGTGTGGTGAATGTATAGGAGGAAGCGAGTTTGTCCTTCTTTTTTTGTCTTTTTGAGACAGTGTCTCACTGTGCAGTTCAGGCCAGCCATGAGCTCAACTTTGTAGCCCAGGCTGGTCTTGAACTTGCAATGATCCTCCTGCCCCAGCCTCCCGAGTGCTGGGATTACAGGCGTGCACCACCAAGCCCTGCTTGTCTTTCTTATATAGTCATACACAGTAAGGTATTTTCAAGCATGTTCTATCTCTGTAATTATGTTCATGATACTTTTATATATGAGGTTATAATACTCTAAATCAAGTACAGATTTTTCATTATGTTGACAATACAACAAATGCACAAATAGAAAAAGGGCGAAGGCTTTTCTCTATGAAAATGTTATATGTTATGTCCAACACATTAAGTGATATTCAGTAGCTACATGAGGTACAGAATGAGTCATGCATTGAGAAATGGCAAGGTTCACAGCAACTTTAAAGAAACATCAGAATCTGAAAAGTACGACAATGACAGCAATAGCCATGACTAGAGCTTCTAGACACTTCTAGGTACTGCCCATTATTCTAAATGCTTTATGTGCTTATTTCAAAGACAAACATAATGGCCCACAATAAAAATGTTTCCCTGTCAGTATGAAGAAAACTGTTCACACACACTGAGGGACTTGCCTGAGGTTGAAGAACTAAAAATGGCACAGCACACACATGAACTAAAGTGCCTGGTAATCAGAAAGAAAGCTAAAGAATCAAACAGTTCAGCAAAAGATACAGCATCAGAAAGAAATCGACATTGGATTTCCTAAGTGAGACAACTGGAAAAGAGTTCTGGATAACACCGTGAATCTCCAAGAAAGTTTACTGTTAATGCACATGCACGATGCGTTAGGGAATGGCTGAAGCTGGGAACTGATCACATGTGCCAGGGGGCAAGGCTGGTCTGAGAACAAAGAGCTTCTGAGGCAAACAGGAGGTGCTCAGGTCAGCCATACAAAATTGCTCAGCAGAGGGGCTGAAATTGACACCAACCTCCTGCTAAGGCAGTCAGGCAGTTCCTTTTCTTCCAGCTGGGGAGAGGGCTCCACCTGACCTCAGCTTGCTGTCTCTTTTATTTCTCCATCCTCTGGCTGCTCCCCCTCCCCATGAACTTTCAGAGCCGTGCTGGATGCAGCACACACATACTATATCTTTCTCACAACTAGCAATACATTAACAGGACAGTGTAGCATACATTTAAGGCAAAGGAAAATATCTAAGATATAGTTTCTACCATTAAAAAAACATAAACTTGGGGTTGGGATGTAGCTCAATGGTGGAGCACTTGCCCATCACGCACAAGGCCTAGGCATGCGCTCCAGTATTGCAAAAGAAATTTAAATAAATGAAATATTTAAAATAATAATGTGATCTTGATAAAAACCAAGGAATTGCATATCCATATACTCATGCATATGCATTACACTTAAATCAACAAATTTTTAAGAGGAGTCTCTCTCAGTGATATTTTTTTTCTGAAGCTAGAATTTTTTTTCTTTAATCACCACTGTGACTACGTATTTCAGCATGCATGGACAACGAAAATTAAAAAAACACACTTTACGCTATAAAACACTAGTGTTTATCAGGATGTTTAAAATGGCACAACATAAAAAACATTTAATGGGATTTGAACTCCAGTGTCTACTAAATATTCATCATAAAATATATTTACAATGTTACCAATTTAAATTAAGATATTTAGCCATTACCAAGATGCCAATGAAATTTACTAGTTAAGATTAGAATTTTTTTGAAACTGTGTGGTGCTGAGATCAAACCTAGGGCTTCATGCAAGCCAGAGAAGCACTTTATCTCTAAGCTACAGCCCCAGCCCTGAAATTTTTAAATAATATAATGAATTTAACAGATTAACAGAAAAAATTATGGATTACGGAAGTACACAGTGAAAAGAATTACTGAAAAATGAAAAAGTAGCCCAAAAATGTAACTTGAAAACATAAACCCACCAAGTCTGATATTTACCAAGCACATTTCAGCAAACACCGTGACTGGCAGTAAGCACTGGATGCGCTTCCTCCTAGTGAAGGAGAAATGGGGCTGTCGGCTCCAGCCCATCACACTACTCACAGGATGCCCGCGCAGGGATCAGTAAGGAGGGAAAGGTGGAAAACAAGAGCGCAGGGAAGACAGAAAAGTGCTGAGTTTGTTAAAGACTAACAGAAAGCATGATTACAACCTCGAAGAAGATGTTACTTAAATACGGGAATTAAGAACGGTGAAAATTTTCTTTCTCCCTTAGTGGGTCTCATTAAATACACATGTACATGACGTACGCATGGAACATCTTCCATTTCCATTAGCAAATATACCATGGTGCTTACGTAAAAGACACTGCCTGACCCATGAAAAGAAATTATGCAACCGTTCTTAAGGATTGACAGCAGCAAGACAAGAGGAGGAGGAAGCCCCAAATTTTCCCTCCCTTAAGGGAACAGGATTTAGTAACACAGCAACCAACTGCCCTGGTGAGAAACTCAAGAAACAGAGGCTGGAACCCTTCATGCAAGCCCTGAGGGAACAGAAATGAAGACAAGCAAGGGCTTAAGTGACTTCAATAAAGAAACATCATCACATGCATCTCAGAAGAGAAAGAAAGAAAGAAAGAAAGAAAGAAAGAAAGAAAGAAAGAGGTAGAGAGCCTACCTAAGAATTTAAGATTGTCCCAAATTTCTCAAATATGAGAAAGAGTGACATGCAAATTCAAGCTTAGGGAAATCCAACTAGAATAAATCTAAGAGTTCTACAGCAAAACACATCATAATGGAACCATGGAAAGTCAGAGAAAAAAAGAATCTTGACAACAGCAAGAGAAAAGTGACTGCCCACCTAGAAGTGCACTCCTAGAGTCCAGCGATCTCTCAACAGAAACTCTGCCAGCTACATGCGGTGGATGGTACGTTCACAGTGCTGATGGAAAACACTGTCACTTAACACCACTACACCAGGCAAAACTGTCCTTCAACTACAGAGAAAGTGAGAGTGGCCAGATAAAAATTAAAGGAGTTCATTACCACTAAAACTGCCCTATATAAACTTATTACATTTTTTTCATTCTTTTTTGATAAGGGCTTGCTGATTTGCACAGGCTGGCCTCAAACTTGTGCTCCTTCTGCCTTTGCCTCCAGAGCACATGTGCAAAACCTTGCCCAGCCCAAGAATTTCTAAAGAGAAACTATGAATTTGAAATGAATGAAGAGCACACAAAAAAAATGCATAAAACTCCAGGTAAAGGTAAAAAGTCCTTTTTTATGAATGACTCTGTCCAACTTCAATGAAATAAATGCCTGAGTTAAAAGACATACAATGCTGGACACGGTGGCGCATGCCTGTAATCCCAGCACTTGGGAGGCTGAGGCAGAAGGACTGTGGCAAGTTCAAGGCCAGTCTGGGCTAAGAGAGTTCAAAGCTACCTGAACTACACAGTGAGAACCTGTCTTAAAATAGAAAAGACATACAATGACTGAAGAGAGGAAGAAAGGAAACAATGTACAACCGCATGCTATAAACAAGGATTCATTTTTGTTCAAAGGACTCCTACAGGCTAAAAGTGAAAAGAGGGGAAAAGAAATCCAAATGGAAACCGAAGAGAGTGTGGGTGGCTTCTTTTATATTTTAAAACAGCCTTTAAGATACAAACTGTCAAAAGAGAAAAAGAATGACTTTACACTACCCAAGTGGCAGTTCCCCAGGAGATGTAATTATAAGCACGAACCCAACACTAATCCTCTCCAATGTATGAAGCAAACACTGACAGAATTAGCAGCACAATACTTGGGGGACACTTCGTGCTGCATATAACTTATGGACAGAATAACCAGGCAGAGGATCAGAAATAAACAAGGGGCTTCAACAACTACTCAGCATACGCACCTTGCAGACCTACACAGAACATTCTACCCGACAGCAGCAGAAACCACTACCTCTACAACACACAAGGAACATCTATGTGATAGACCATAGGTTAGGTTAAAACAAATCTTTAATGAAAGGTTAAGAAACTGGATATCATTCTAATTTTCTTTTGTGCACAGTGGAATGAATGCAGAAATCAACAATTGAAGAGATATGCAACCTCACAAATACATGAAAATGAAACTCTCTCTCAGGTGACCAACAGGTAAAAGCAGGAAAAGATTTCAGAAAACATCTGTAGTAAAAGTACAACGAAAACAAATGTGCCAAAACTCACAGAATGCAGTAAAAGCAATGGTAAGTAGTGTAAGGCAGTAAAACTTTATGCCCAGAACAAAGGACAAACTCACACCAATAAACTTTACATCTCAATCAAGGAAGAAATAAAATAACATTAGCAAAAGAAAGGAAAAAAATGAGTAGTGGAGATAAATGAGACACAGGGGACACATTAATCAACAAAATATTAACTTTCTGAAAAGACGGAAAAAAAAAAAACAAAAACGACAAGTACTGTCCAGAATCATGACCAATCGAACTTCCTGGGATCACAGACATGCAGTGTTAGTGGAGACTAGGGAGGCTGAGGGCAGCTTGAGTGAGCAGAAGGAAATACAGCAGGCTGCAGGATTACAGGAAGTCAGCAGTCCTGTGTCAAGCGCTTCACAAAGGAGGGAGACACTGAACAAGCCAATGACATCATCACTTTACCTGAGTAACAGCCATTTCCGAATCCCTTGCGTTCCTCTTCCAGGCTTCTCGACTACCTAACAAGAGTCAAAAACATATTTAGTGCTCAGAACAAACACATTCTGCTCCAATAACACAGCTACACACACGAGACCCTCACGTATGGAAAGGTGGGTCTTGTGCTGCTCCGGCACTGAGGTGGGGACGCAGCGATCTGAAACCAGAGTGTGCTCCCCTCCGGGTGAAGGTCCAACACCGGGCAGCAGTGGGGAGCCGGGCTGCTGCACTGAGTTCTCCTTCAGGACACAGTCCCAGCCCTGAGCAAACCCAGGGACAGCGCATCCCTCTCATTCCTCCATGAATCACAAGCTGACAACGGCCCTCAGACACGCAGGACAGCCTGGGCAGCCAGCACTGGGCACAGAATAGAATCAACTGTAAATGTTACTAACGCTGAGTCCCAGGCTGACCATGGGAATGGGACTCTCTGGCAAGGAGTCACAGGAGATATTTGCAAAACACCTCAGCACTCCAATGGGTTGAGCACCACCCAGCAGGGCAAGCCCAGCCCCTCCCACCTTCTGGCTCCCTCCCCTTTGGAGCCTTGTTGTCCCCTGGATCCGGACACTGTGGACTGGGAAGGACCAGAAAGAAACTGCAGAGCAGGCAACACGGACCAGAGGTGAGAGTGAGGGTGTGGTTAGGATGGCCGTGGAAGGCGGAGGCCACGGAAGTCTCATGGAGAGGTTGATATCAGACCACAGATCTGGGAAGGAAGGTGTCTGCCACCTGCAGCTGATGGGCCAGTGCGTTCTAAGCAAAGACAGAACCCAGGGAAAGTCCCGAACCAAGAGCTACAGAGGTCCCAGGAAAAGGCAGGAGGCCTGTGCGGCTGGGGCAGAGCGAGCAGGGAGGATACTGCAGGCGATGAAGGCAGCCAGGTTACCTCTGGAAGCATAGCAGGTGTGGCTGATACCGTCTAATATGTATCTCCCACTTCTGAAACCAAGTTAGGAAATGATAGCCTTTGTCACCCACCTACATAAGGATAAGATTTTTCTATTTTACATCAAAACACTTACAAGTATTATAATACATCCTGTACTTAAAACATAAGCTATGAGCAAGTGTTCAGCTACGCCCCAGGAAAGGCAGGGTCACCCCTACCTGAGACAACTGTGACCTACACAGGAAGTCATTTCCAGATCTCAGGAAGTCACATGCCGACTGTGACCTGTCCGATGTCCCAGCAGACTTGGGGTGATTGTAGGGCTCCTGGGGGAGGTCTGCAGGGTACACAGAGACGCATGCATGGTCAAAGCCATGCCGGAGGTGATAAAGAAAAGCAGTGGGTATTGTCAAGAAGTTCAAGGCTAAAGCATGGGAGAGCATCGCATTCGGAGGACAGGGTTCAGGAGATGGCAGCAGAGGACACACGTTGCTGTCCGCCTCGGCGGTGGATCACCTCTCCTCTCCGCTCCTCCAGCTCTAAGCTCCTCCCTTTTCCGGCTCCTCTCCCTGTTTTGGGGTCCTCATCTCTGCTGATCAACATTCTTCCTCCGTCTATTTGATTTTTCTCCCCTGCTACTTTCTTCACTGCTTCTTCCACTCGTGGTTCTCTTTGGAGTCCCTCACCCAC